GAAAGCGTTTCCAATTATCCAGCCCTGGGCTGGCAGCCGGGCCCAGGGGAAGCAGATTTGCCTCCTTCGGTCCTTTAGAAGGCTCCTCGCTTTCCCTCCTGCGACAGCCATGAATTGACACTGCTCTGGGGGGCGGGGGGCGCGCAGTTTTCCCTATGGCCCTGCCATCTAGCTGCCTAGCTGCAGCCCCTGACTCTGGAAAGCGGGAGGAACAAGGCCGCAGGATACAGTTGCCATCCCCACAGCGGGCCTGGTGAGACCCACCCACAGGCCAAGCTTAGGTGACAGACACTGGGACCAATGACAAGACTCTTGGCTTCTCTGGAAGCCATCTGGCCCAACGCTCTGCATCCTGGCTGGACTGCCGTTCGAGATCTGCTCAAAAAGAGCATGGCCCCAGGGAGGACCCCATCCCTGGGAGCCCCAGAGGCCGGGGCCTCATCCGTTCATCTCAGCAGCCTCCAGGGCACTGAACCCACAGTCGGGCTAAGTGTCCATTTGCTGACCTGTCTCCTCCTGCTGCGTGGGGCCAGGGATGGGCTGGGGCGGAGTGGGCCGTGCAAGCACTGACGGGGCAGAGGGGTGGCCTGGGAGTTGACGCAGGGGTGGCTGTTGAGCAATGATGGGGATTGAATGGGGGGCAGGGAGGATGGGTCCAGTAGGTGGATTTAAGAGAGATTTTGGAGGTAGAATAAATAGGACCAGAGACCGGATGGATGTGGGGATTAGGGAGAGTGGGAAATTGGGGTGCCACGCCTAAGCCAGAGACCTGAGGCCCTCTGGGCTTGTGCTCTCATCTCTCAACTCCAGGCGATCCCCAATCCCGACCACGTCCTAAGTGGGATGAATGAGGTCGTGTCTACTCAGCTCCAGTCACTTCACGGGGTCAGTCACATGCCTTCTCTACTCATAGCTAAAGTCATGAAAAAGTTTAAATACACACAAAGGAAATAAAAAGGAGCATCATGACCCCTAGGTCAGGCTGGCTCAGCAATCTCTTCCTAAAGGGCTCAGTCCTGTGTCAGGGACCAGTGAACACAGGGAACAGGGACAGGCTCCGTCCCAGCACAGACTGACATGGAAATTGCTCAGGTCACTTCTGCGTGGCCACTTCCAGGAGAGGCATCTGCCTAGACCGGCCTGAATCCAGGAAGACATGAAACCCTCCCCTGCCCCCCAGCACCCCCAGAATCAACTCGGTGGGGTTGGGAGGCCCTTCGAAGGGGCTCACGTCTGCTTCTGGCCCCTTTGTCGCTGTGCACCCTCTCTACGCGCCCTGCGCACCAGCCTGCTGCCGTGACCAGACCTGTCCTCTGGCCCGGAACACGCCTTCTTCTCCCTCCCTTCAGGGCCCTGCTCATCGCCTCCCCTGTGAAGCCCTGCCTGATCCGCCTCGGGTCACCACCGTGTTCTTGGCATAACCCCGCAGCCCTGCCGTGACGACTGTTCTGTGTGCCGCCCAGAGGGCAGGACTGTGTCTGCTTCGTCTTTGTGCCCCTAGTGTCTCATACACTGAAAGCCCTCTACAATGATGTTCTGTATGCTGGCTGTACGGCTGCGGGGCGGAAGTGAAGGAGTGAATTCACGGGAGAGCAAGTCAGTGGAGGAAGAGAAACAACTGGGAAGCTGTGGGAATGGGTGAATGCTCTCCCGGAGTTCTTCTCCGTCCATCTTTGGAAAGTAGAAAACAGATGGACCAGCGAAAGTGCTGGGGATGCTTCTCCCCTGGGCAGGAAAAAGGGTCTCCTGCCCCTTCTCATCAGCAGAGGCCCATCCTGTTCCGTCCTGTCCAATGTCATGTGTCACTGGCCTTTCTGAACCCCCAGGGCAGGTTCCCTCCCTGGAGCAGGCTGGGAACAGGCACGAGGAGCTCAGACCATGCCCAGACCCTGCGCATGCTGCTGGGGTCTGTTTGCACAGGGTCATCTGGTTTCAATCCAGTGAAATCTTAAAACTTTCCACGGGAACATCTTCTATTTTAAACGCCTTCCGGATGGGCTGGACAAACCCAGCCAGGAGGACTGTGAGCTCCTGGGCAGCTGCTGGGGGACTCGCCCTTCCACCCCTGCTGGCCCATAATAGCAGGAGCAGGCATGGCTGGGGGCTCCAGGACCTAGGCCCAGCTCCACTGTGAATTTGCTGGATGAACAAGGCCCTCCTTCCCACTGGGCCCCAGTCTTCTCATCTGTACAGTGGAAAGTTAACAGCGGGGAGCAAGACCGTGTGGGTTCAAATCCAGATGCCGCCCCTTATTTAACTCCGCGACTTTGGCAAAGTTACTGTACCTCTGGGGCTTCCCTTTCATCATCTATAAAATGGAAATAAGCTGATTTGTT